AAAAAAAAAAAAAAAAAAAAAAAAAAAAGAATCCCTCCGCAATTCATGGCATCTAACTACTCTACCGTCGTCCCCCGAACGGAACGCACTCCAGCGCACTCCATCACGACTGCATTTGACCGGATTCATCGCCTCGATTCATACATTTCGGATGAGGGAAACTTGGAATAGATCTGTATCCCCATCCACATCTATATCCACATCCTCATCTATATCGAGATCTGTATCTACATCTATATCCACATCCACATCCACATCTATATATATTGTCCCAAAAATATCAGAGCGCAAATGCGGAAAAAAAAGAAAGAAAGAAAGGAAGCAAAACAGGAATTCATTTTTTTTTCTTCCATATAACTGCCCCTGTTCAGAACCTCTTGCGTACAAGGCCGCCCACGTAGATGTAGGTTGAGCGGCCTCTGCCCCCACCCCCGTGTGTCATATCCACCCACTTGCACACAGCGAAAAGGTACATATACCGATCTAATTCCACATCAATATTCACATGTACAGGATTGGAAGCCAACACGTGTATCCATCCACATCCATCAAGAGACGTCCACAACAGGCAATCACCTCCACTTAAGACGCACTCCATCACGTCTGCATTTGACCGGATTTATCGCCTCTATTCATACATTCCGGACAAGGGTAACTTGTGCCTGCCGAAGCACAGTAGGGCTCTCGTGACAGAGGTCATGTATCTATATCCGCATCCAGATCTATATCCACATCTATTTATAGATCTATATCCACATCTACATCTAGATCTATATCTACATCTTTATCTACATCTATACGATTGACAGCGAAGCGCACGTGTCCATCCATTAACAAAAATATCAAGAGACGTCCACAACATGCAATGACCTCCACTTCACACGCTCCACATCTCTACAGTCACTTATCCTCTCCTCCTTCCCCCCCCCCCCCCCATTTTTTTATTATTTTCCCCTCTCCTCGTACACTCTCGTTCCCCCTTTTTCATACACTGCTTTTTGTTTTCTCTTTCTTTTTACTTATACCCTCTCGTTTTGCCAGCATTTACAACACACCTCCTCTCGTCGACGACCACAATCATTCATCACCGTCGTGCCCTTGCCTATCATGAAACCAAGGCCCCTTCCCCACGAGCGCGACGTGCACTCGTGAGCGGCCCCGCGCGCCCATGCCATGCACGTGGTCCTACATACCCACATAAAAAATGCACATTAACACGTATTCCATCCACATCCATATCTATGTCATTGACACTCTTTACGTCATTGGCATGCTCCTACGTATCCGTCCACATCGAAATCAACGTCCACAGGTAGTACATCCACATCCATTTATCTGCAACGTCATCACAAAGACTTCATCGACGCCACGTCAGCCGTGAGAACCAGATTTGCCATGATCCCGGTCCCGTTCCTATTCTCTTCCATCCCCACAGCCATCATGCGTACTCCATCCCCGGCTGACGTATCCATTGCAAATCAGCCCTCTCTTCCACGAGGATGCCCATTGCCACGTTAATACGAATCCAATTGACTTTATTTTTTTTTATTTTTTTATTTTTCAATGTGGCCCGATGGACCACGGAATCCATCAGATATGACACTGATCAGAACAGGTACTACGCATGATCTACTTAACCAAAAAACGCCGACAAAAGTTTCGTCCAATCAATATCCGTGATGTCGATGAACACCCAATCACCTCCACATCCCAATCACCTCCACATCGCATGCTTTTTTTTCTTTTTTTCAATGTGGCCCGATGGACCACGGAATCCATCACATATGACACTGATCAGAACAGGTACTACGCATGATCTACTTAACCAAAAAACGCCGACAAAAGTTACTTCGAATCAATATCCGTGCTGTCGAGGAACACCCAATCACCTCCACATCCCATGCTCCACGTCATTACAGATAATATCCGTGATGTCGAGGAACACCCACTCACCTCCACATTCCCATGCTCCTCGACGTCATTACAGTTCCGCCTTCTCCTCTCCTCCTACCCAACATTGCCTCCCCACTCTCGTTCACGACCAATCATAACCTTCTTGCCCTTCTTCTTATTAGATCAGGTCCCCTACCCCACACGCGCCGCGTCCATTCATGTCGTGCACGTGGGCATGCAAGTCTGCCAGGTGCATGTTCCATTGTGCGCACACACACTCCATGACAGCTATGCAGGACACGTCACGTCACATTTCGGATCTGATTCTACGTCCTCCGGTACCATCCCAAAGCGTACCAGAACATGACACGTGTCATAGACCCGTGCAAGCCGACGGCCTAACCCACACGCGCCGCGTCCATTCATGCCGTGCACGGGGGCATGCAAGTCTGCCAGGTGCATGTTCCATTGTGCGCACACACACTCCATGACAGCTGTGCAGGACACGTCACGTCACATTCAGGATCTCATTCTACGTCCTCCGGTACCATCCCAAAGGGTACCAGAACATGACACGTGTCATAGACCCGTGCAAGCCGACGGGTTGGTCACTGACTCAGAGGTAAGCATGCAGGCACAGACCCCTTGCGTTTCTGGCTGGTGGGCTATGTTCCTCTCCCTCTCCCTTCTGCACCCGTCTACTTCTGCGCGTCTCCCCCACGCACACACCTACTACGCGCGCCTGTGCTATGCGCGCCTGACAAAGCGGTACCATAACATGACGCGTGTCATTGACCCGTGCAAGCGGACGGGCTCTTTACTGACTCAGCGGTCAAGATGCATAGACCCTTGTGTCTCTGGCTGGCGGGGGGTATAACGGAGGGGTCTTATGTTCCTCTCCCTCGTCCTCCTGCACCCGTCGTCTACTTCTGTGCCCCTACCCCATGATGCGTGCCTACCCCATGCACCCTCTACTTGTGCGCGCCGCCAACCGCATGGCAGCTGCATGCCACGTCACGCCTCATCACCGCTTTCTTAGCTGCATGACACGTCACGTCTGATCACCGTCTTGTTAGTCGGCTGATAGTCCTGGCAGGGCCAACCACACACACACACACTAGCACACAC